TTATTTTCAGAGGATACGGTAATTGCGTTACGATCACAAATTCAAAGATCATTTAGTCTATATCTGACAAAAAATTACTTCTTTATGAGATGGGAAATTAATCATTTCTTGTCTTTCTTGATTACGGCACATCAATTAAGCTATACAGTCACTTGTGTTAATATTGCTGCTCAATAATACTGAACGTGCGTACTAAACATAGCCGCTACGCATAAAGAGATATATCTATCTTCAAAATATTACGTTCCACAAAGGATAATTTTATAGGATATGAATGTGTTTATAACACGTCGAGACGCAACATCTCCAATACTTTACAGGTTAATATTCCAATTTACTTCTAAGTGAAACGCATAATCGTAACCGTTCATAACTCCCTCCTCATCAACCTTGCCGAATTCTACCTCTAACTATTCCTTGGTTTAGGCAGACCTCCAGTAGGTAAGAGCATACTAGAATACTTGCTCTCCTCGATACGTGATAACGGTTTTACATCATTATGATAGATAGCATCCCATGCGCTGCTGTTAGACTTAGCATTGCGCATCATTCTACTAAGCTCATATATATAATCCCCGAGTTCCTTGCATCAGGGGATCAGCATCACAACACCGCTCAGCAAGTTTCTTGTATTCCTCTGGTGCGGAATCAGGCATTGATGGCCGTAGTCCACCCATAATATCGCATATTAAATCTTTGCTTAATTGCCTATCCCTAAAAGGTGGTTCACCAGTAGCAATCAAATGCATAATGATACCAAAAGAATACACATCTGATTTCTGCGTAAATTTGTGAGTATGAAAGACTTCTGGTGCAATAAAGGGTAAAACCCTCGAATGGTTGAATTTTGTCGACGTGAATTTACGGATTGAGAAAGACCAAGATCGCATATTAATGGTTGAGATATACCGTCCAAAGTAATGTTTCCGCCATGAAGATCACAATGCACTAATCCTGTATTATGGATGTTGTGCAGACGAATTACAATATTCCTCAAACACTAATTTTCCCCTCCACGTTAGTTGTTAAAATTTTGATCAAATAAGACAAAAGACAACCACTATCTGCGTGCTGTATGACAATCATATACTCTTTTGTTATTGAGACTTGCGTGTATCCATAAATTCTAAGGAATGAATTAGACCCGTTTGTGCACTTGGCATGATTTCTGAACTATTAAATGCAGGTCAATTAAATATCGTTTTAATTACCGTAATATTCACATACATCGATTATTTGCTCACCTCGGACATAAATAATTCCAACGTTTCATCAAAATTCTTAAACTGTTTTGAGTACAACAGTTTGTGGCACAAAATAGCTAACTTCTGAATATTTTTTATATTTGGTAGTATAAACTGTTCCATAGCCACCAGATCCAATTTCATCAAAAAATCGCTATACTGCGGACACTTTGCACTTGCGTTAGTTTGTATAAACCTGTCCAATATTGCATGTATGTCATGGTAGAAAACTAAATAATATTCCCGAGTAGATGGCTCCTGCGCAATCCTGGTTATCTAAATATTCTCTGGTGTTAATATCTCTGGGTATTCCCTAGTTAGCTGGTTAAGTGAACAAATGCAGTCGTTACAATACTGGTCGATTTAAACGCGTAGTACGCACTTATTGATTGCATTTTACCTGATGAAAATCAAATGGCTGATCGTTTGCGTTCTGTTTGTCGACTATCTTTTTGAGTGTCACACGTGTCAATCCATTTGTTGTTGATTCTAAATATTCTGCTGTATGTGTGCACCCACGATGTAATGATGTCATCTCTTTTTCCTGGAACGATGTCCGAAGAGTCAAAAAAACGCAAGCTGCAGGAAATAGAAGAGACATGCACAAGTTTTCGAAAGTCTCATTTCCTGAGGAAGCATATTCGTATTGATAAGATCTTGGAGTTGATGAAAATTTTAGCCGCGAAAGATTGTAACCAAGTAGTTGAATCAGACAAAGTTCTCTCCGCTTTGTTCGATAGTTTCGCAACCGGAAACGTATTGTATTAAAAACTCCTCACCATTGTTTATGTTTATTTATTCTTGCTACGTATACGCTTTCCCTAACTTTTTGAATTTCTTAGATTATGGGATTTTTCGGCACTCGAAAATGATGATGTCGATTCCTTATTGCATTTGGAGAATAAAGGCCCTCTTGTGTTCGAAGATTCCGTAAAAGTGGTTCCTTCTCAACATTTCTTAGCAACTCTGACGAAGTTACAGAGACGTTGGAACATGAGCGTGCGTATTCGTTCTCGAAGATGATTCTGAATACCAGTATAGTGCTATAATGAACCCACATCATAATGAATGATATCTTGATGCTTTTGATAGTTGGAAGCCG